CTCTGTGGGGCTGTTATCTCTCTGCTTTTGAGTTCCGTTTGTACTTTGTCTTGTCAGACAGTTCTTTTAATCATGCTCTGTCTTAGTGGGCTTTCAATTGCCATCATAAAACACTGTGAACAAAAGCAGCCTGGGGGAGAAATTGTTTATTTCATCTTAGAACTCTCAGGTCCCACTCCACAAATTCAAGAAGTCAGGGGAAAAATCCAAGGCAGGAGCCTGGAGGCCAGAATAAAGTAGAAGCCATGGAGGAGTGGGGCTTACTGGCTTGGTCTACATGATTGGCTCAGCTTGACTTTTTATATCATCCGGGATCACAAGTCTGGGGTGGCACTGCCTACAGGGAACTGGGCCTTCTCATATCAATCATTAATCAATAAAATGTTCCATAGACTTGTGTTATCGAGGTATTTTCTCAATTAAGATTCCCTCTTCCCAGATATTTCTAGGTTTCTGTCAAGTTGACAAAACTCAGACAGAACATGATTTATAGCACAACTTTATGACAACATTGTGTTAGCTGATAATTAGCCCCAGAACATCTTATACACTCTGACATCTAGGGGTCACCCTCTGGGGACTTCAGATTGTATCCTTCGCACAGACATATTTATTTTCCTTAGTTTTCACAGTATTTAAAATTATTTTCCCCTAGCTTTTAGAAAACAATGTCCCAATGGTCCCATACATATAATAACAACTGTGCAGTGCCCAGTCACTCAGTTAAGTCTCTAAAGACTGGCCACAAGGTCCCCACATTCCTCCATTACATCTACAAAGCAGAGGGCGTTGGTGGGTTCCCCGTCAGGTGGGAACTGTAGGCTTCGGCATCCTCTTTCCTTCTTGGGGACTGCTAGCTAGTCAGAGTCAAGTTGTAGCTCCATTACTACGGTTTGAGTTCGACACAGCATCACCTGCTTCCCAGGTGCTTCAGGAATATTTATAGAATGGGAAAATGAAAGACCAAACCACTCCAGGAGATGAATGCTTGAGTTTGCCTCTCTGTCTTCTGAGCTGTCAGCTATGAATTCATCAAAAGAACAAAGGATTCTGTTATGCTTGTATTGTGGCTTCCCCCAGTCAGGAGTTATGAGCCAGTTCCTTATTTTCAGGAGATTCATCCAAATCTCTTTCTTCACCAACTGCCAAGTCTCTAAGCAGTCCTCCCCCAGCTGAAGGAAAGAGCACCAAACTTGGAAATTCAGTTAGCGTGTTGTTCTTAACCAGCCCCTGAGTTCTTGCACAGTAGTTCGCTCCTCTCCAGAGCTGTCAAATTTGGCTTCGAGTAACTCTCCAATGGAAAGCCCTTGGAGTATAAGCTTTTGTCTGAGAATGTCCCCTCATTTCCTTTTGACCACTAGGATTATTGGTAGGTTTTTTTCTGAAATAAAAATGGAAGTGTTTCCAACACAGATGTCTTAAACACAGTCTCATCTCCGCTGTGAGAGTTCAAATCTTTCAGTTCAACTTCCACTGCCAACCCTTCTGCATCTTCAAGGATAGCATGACCACTGGGTAGTCTCTTGTCAACTTGACATGCAAACTTATTTCCTTAAAGGAGGAAGCTCAATGGAGAAGATGCCTTCGTAAGATCCAGCTGTAAGGCATCAGCATAATCAGTGAAGGGCAAGGGCCCGGCCCATTGGACATGATGCCATCCCTGGGCTGGTGGTCCTGGGTAATATGAGAAGGCAGGCTGAGCAAGCTATGGGGAGCAAGTCAGTAAGAAGCACCCTTCCATGGCCTCTGTTTCAGCTCCTGCCTCCAGGTTCCTGCTTTGTTTGAGTTCCTGTCCTGATTTTCCTCAGTGATGAACTGCAGTATGGAAGTGTAATCCAAATAACTTCCCATAACTTGCTTTTTGGTCATGGTGCTTTATCACAGCAAAATAAACCTAACTAAGACAACATTTAAGCCACTCAAGAAAAGGTTTGGAGACATTTTGCATTTTATTACGCATAATTTTTATGATGATCTGCTTTTAATCCAATGCTGTTTTCCCCTCCACAGATATGGTGGTACTAATATTGTTTCCATTAAAATATATTTAGTAAAAATTAACTATGTGTTGATAAAATAAGGAAATGATAGTCCTGAAGGAATGAAGATGTGGCAGAGATGCTGAGGTTGTGGCGGGTCTGGCAATTGTTTGGAAAACACCGAGCTTTAAGGTAAAGTTTGAAAGTGGCGTGGGCTGCTGATGTAGGAAACATGCTTGCCTACCATCCTGGAAACCGTGGGTTTGATCCCAGAACTGCATAAACCAAGTGTAGTAGTCTGGGTTTGTAATCTTAGCATTTGGGGGTTGGGGTGAGGGGTCAGAAGTTCAAGGTTATCTCTCCCTACCCTTGCCAGTGCTACACAGGGAGTTCAAGGTTAGCCTGGGCCCCATGAGACCATATTGCAAGAAAAAAAGAACAAACCTAAAAACTGGTAAAGTCTGGGCTCCTCCTTCTTTATTGGGTGCTGCTGTCTTTTTGGCCTCGGCTTCCACCATTTTCTTTTCTATTATTTCATTTTTATCCATCATCGTAAACTTGACTTTGAAATCCAACGAGACTTGTAGGTGAATAAGGAGAACAGGGACTCACCTGCAGTGGGAACAAACAGAGTGGAGGATGTCTAATCTGGTAGGGTGGGGGTGACCCCTGAGCTAAAAAAGAACAGGTCTGATGGCTGAGATAAAAATAGTCATTGTCCTCAGAGGGCAATGGTGGTCATGCTGCTTTTGTCATTTCTAAAGTCAAAATGCTCCACGGGCATCCATCACATCCATACGGTGATGTTCCGTTTCAGTCTCTGAGACCCCACACTTGCCAGCAAGCCACTCAAGCCTTGGTCATTATGATTCTGTTCAGCAGCTACTGTTGGCAAGATGCCAGGATTTGTGTACTCCAAGACCAAAGTCTCACCATTAACTTTCCAATCTCTGCACACGGACTTGCTGCTACCGTGTTTAGGGCCCATGAGAACACAGCTATGGGATCTGGAAGGGCCCCTCATGCTCACATCTGTTCTCTTTGTCACTGAGGACACAAATGCTTCTTCCTGTTGTCTTTGGAGCTTTGCGGGTGAATGCCTCAAAGCAGATGAAGCCCAAGTGTTTGCCTTCACCAACGACGCTGCAGCACATGAAGGGTTAAGCAGGCTGGCTGGGGCTTCTGTAGGCAGTGGAGGCATCTTCGAAGCCCAGTTGCTTAATCACTTTTTTCTTTCTGTTTTCCTGTCACGTTATCTTGATATAAGAAGAATGTGTTATAATTCAAATGTCCTGGGAGGTTTCCCAACCTCCCGCAGCAGCAGCTTTGTAAACGTGAGGTCTCAGTCTTGGAGCAGATGGCGGGGGCGGGTGTAGTTCTGCAAGGGAACTCTTTGGCTCTCACTCCTGGCTCATCCCTTTCTTTCCCAGTCTCCCTTGTGTGTCTGGCTTCTTCTCATCCTTCCGTTGGTTGTAATGCTGCCTCCTCACGGAGGACCACCTAGACTGCCCTCTGAACCAGAAGTGCGGTCCCTCTTTTTCAACACAACAGCACATATTTCAGCAGATAGTTTGCCTTCCTGCTCACCAAAAACTGGGAATTTCAGTGCACTTTTTAATCATCCATCGCTTCTCCTGTTTGGAACTCTTCGGGGCAGCGTTCCGCTCACTAGTGTATCTCAGGTGATGGACAGCGCACTCGTGCTTGGGTCCAGGAAAAATGGTTGTTGGATGGATGAGTGCTTACTGCCTTTATCCACCATGAATTCTGCCTCACGCTTCAATCTTCATTGGGTTCATGAATTGCTCTTAGAAGACCCCAGTGCCTTCCATAACCATGACTTGTGTCCAAAGTCATTATCTCTGTGCCTTTAGTATAGAAGCAAATATATGAGGTTGTATTTGGGTTAAAGGGATGTTTGCCAGTAGCTGTCTGGATATCTGCCATCATTCCCCACAATATTCATCCAAGCTTTTCTTAATGTAGTTTTTCTCACATTAAGGGAAACATCCCCTTCTGATGACTTTAGTTGTATCCAGAGTTGACAAGGGTGAGAAGTGAGGAGAGATAGAAAGGACAGTGTGAAAGGAGGCACAGTACTCATATTTGTGGGGCACCTAAGTTTAAGTATCTATAAAACTCTTAATGTGATATTGCATGGCTCCATGTTTACCGTGGCAGAATAAAACAAACATCGCCATCTAGTGGCAGAAATGTAGAACTGCAGCCATATATTTCATAGTTAATGGGTCCTCCTCTGACTCTAGAGTTGAGTGCCAATAATTGCTCCTCATGTCCCTGACTAGTCATGTAGTGATCAATATATCGATCACCTTTTGTGGGCAAATCACACTGTTTGGAGACCTTGGAGTGCAGGTTGATGTTGACATGTTCATACCTAACGGACATCCAGGAAGTCAGGTTTCCGGGTGCAATAGTTCATTACTGGCTCTCTGGGTCACATACAGCTGCTCTTTCGATTCATCGGTGTCCACAAAAAGTGCTAAGCAACTGGGGATATTTAATCAGAAGACTTCACAAATCCAAATACCCCTACGTGGACTTGGGAATCTTCTGGGACACTGACACCGGTGACCTGCACTCTTGCATTTCAGCTACTAGTGTGGGTGACAAAAAGTTGTCCCTTTGGATCACGCTGTCCCACTCCATCAGCCCTCTGTCTGTTTAGACAGTAGGTTGAGCCTGAGTGTTTGGGAGGTACATAAGCGTTTGGTAGCTTTTGGCTTTCTTTGTTTATTTTTAAGGAAGGAAATCTCTCTAATCCTTTTCCCAAAAGGCTCAGCAGTGACAATTATAACCGCACAATTACCAAGGGGGTAATCTATGTCTTGATGACCCTTAGATGGAAAGCTATTTGTTTCCCTGGGTTTCTTTTTCTCTTAAAATAATATCTTTACTCAAATTCCCCATATGTGATTATTTTCCTCTCCTTTATTTGGTGAGTGAGAAAGCTATTTTTGAGACTTTGACCGGTTCTCCCTTTTATTTGTCCAATAGATACCTAACTGACACATTGTCAATGCTGGACTCTGCTTCGTGTTTCATGTCGGTGTAGCTGAGGATGCTCTGCACATGCCCCTTGCGGAGAAAGTGGTGAGCGCTGGAAAAGGTCTATGTTACTATGGGCACATATGTGAGGGGCATAGGACCCGATCCTGGGGTGCAAACAGGGTCAGAAGGCTTTCTCTGGAGAAAAGTTTAAGTCTTAGAGTTTAGCCAAAGGGTAGGGGGATGCACACTGATATCAGACAAAATCAGAAGAATTATTGGGTTAGAGCAAGATATCCACCAGCACTAAGGACTCTGTTTGGGAGCAAAGCAGGCAGGCATGGAGCAACTGCTGCCTATGAACAAGGCAGCAAAGACTCAGAACCATGTTTTCAGAGATACAGTTGAGAGCAAGCTAGGGAGTTGGTTCCTTTGGTCTTCGCCTGGTTGGTCTGGTAGGGTGTCATGAAGGTGCCTTCAACACCATCAAGGCCTGCTGATGCCATTACAATTGCTGCTGCTGCCTACTGGGCAGCCTCTCTTCTTGTTGTTGTTGTTTTTCTTTTAAATTCATGTTGCTCTTTTCCCATTTCCCTCACAGTTCTGTTTTCTCTATAGTTCCCTCCCCACTTTCTGCATAATTCTGGCATTTTCCTAGAGCTGTTGTGGATTTTTCTGTTGTTTGGGAATGCTCAGCAACCAGGTCGTGAACTTCTCAGCTCACCCCCTGGAACCTTTCAATCCAAAAGTTAGCTTCAAAGCCTAGTTGGATGTCGTTAATGCAGAGCAAAAAGTCAACAAACATGTCCCTAGAGTCCTGGCACCGGAAAGCCTTTCTCTTGTTCCCTTTGCTCAATTCCCTGCTGGTCAGCAGCCTGAACTTCCACCTACCTTTCTCCACTGGCAGCTCTCACTGCGTCCTGAGTGATCATGGAAAGCTAGGGTAGGATCCTAGAGGCTGAAAAGGTACTTAAGCACAAGCTCCAACCCCAAATGCCCTCAAGAAGCTCTCTTTCTTTTCTGACACGGTTGTCGGCTTCCCCTTGAAGGTATTGGTGTTCGACACACCTGGATTCTGGTTTGAGCATCCACGGTCACTGGGCATTTGAACCAGGAAACCTTCTTGGGGCCCTGGTTTCCTTTCTTGTAATGTAAAGATGAGAAACTCTGGGCTTCCTACTTCACTGCCTTTGAAGAGGAGAAAATTGTAGATCAATCATTTCTGAAACATGTATTGATTGATCAGCCATCTGTCAGCCTCTAGGGTACAAAAGCCCATGTTCAGTTGTAATGTGTTATGCAACGTGACATCTCAGGCAGAGAAACCCACCTCTAGCTGGGCCAGCTTAGGTGTGTATTTGTAGGTATCTGACTTGGTCCCTAACAGATGGTTTTCCTATTACTCTACCCTGGACAAGTAGGCCTCAAAACCACAGACAAAGAGGTCCTCATGTTTAAAATGATCTGAAATAATTGCATCTCTAATCCTTAGGTCTTCTTTCAACTCTGGGCTTGCTCCCTCCCCACAATGGACTTGCCAGTTCTCATTCACCTGCCCTCTCCAGTTACATGAACAGAAGTCCAGGGATGAAGGTGAGACAAGGAAGGAGCTAATACAGGAGTCTGCTTTGGGGAGAAGTGAGCCTGGGCTGGGGTTAGCACATTGGAGTAGGTTAGGAAAGGCTTATTTCAAAGGGGGAATAATAAAGGGACCTATGGTTACCCAGGGGGCTGTAATAGCAGAACTGCTACCGCTTCTAGGTCCCAATGGACAAGGGGAGAGAACTACATTCAGAACAGGCAAAAACGTTTAGATACGGTTGAGTGACGGGAGCCTTACTGCGGAAGTGCAGCAGAGTCAGAGAGGAAGACACAAATAGGAGAGAGGTTTAGATCACAGGCCTGTTTGAGCTAGAAGATGGCATGGGCTGTGAAGAAACAGGGAGGTAAAGGAGGGCAACTTAGAGACATTGGTGAAGGGTGGACCTCTTTCAACAGGGAACATGAGAAGGGGTTGAAGACAGAAGACCCAGGTTCAGTTTGGGGTGTGCTATGTTAATGGCTGCAGAGAACCTACTTGGAAGCTGCGAGAGTTTAACCCAAGCTTCAGCAGAGACCTCAGCTAGAAACATAGAATCGGAACATACAAATAATGATTATTACTGTACTGAAGATCAGTAAGATATATATCACGTGTGAAATCTGATGCTCGCCAGATAAAGAACGTCTTCCTTAGCATTTGGAGCAGTGTCTTCCTCCATCCTGGTATGATGTCCCCTCTTGAAGTAGATTGGGTAGTTATACAGACACAAGATAATTGCAATGCATGAAATATTCATCTTACAGTGGTGAAAATTGAAGACAACAAAGACAAAATATGGTAGAATTATTATCCTTGCACACGACAAAAAGCCCAGTTTAAACTAAGCTAAATGAAGAAAGTCTTTGGTTAAAGTCAAGGAGTGATTTTCAGTTTCAGACTGAGTTTGCTCCAGAGGGTCAGAGAACATCACAGAGGCAGGGTTCTGGTGCCTCTGTCTTCTACTCATCCCTCTTTCCCCAATGCTTGCTGCCTTCTCTAAGGCCGACTCAGCCTCATTTTCATAAAATGACAAGCCTCACATAACTCCACCTTCCAAACAACCAGGCTACCTCTCTCTCCCAGAAGCCCTATTATATGTCTCAGGCCTTCTCAGCAGCTTGACTTAATCCTTTTTTTTGGTTTTAGTTTCAAAAAAGATTTATTTATTAATGTATAAAATGTTCTGCCCACATGTATGCTTGAACACCAGAAGAAGGCACTGGATCTCATTATAGATGGTTGTGAACCACCATGTGGTTGCTGGGAATTGTATTTGGGACCTGTGGAAGAGCAGCCAGTGCTCTTAACCATGAGTAATCTCTCCAGCTCCAATCAATAATTTTTAGAAAATGAAAAGGATCAAGTACAGAGATTAGTAATCTTTTTTAAAAAAATTTATTTATTAAAGATTTCTGTCTCTTCCCCGCCACCACCTCCCATTTCCCTCCCCCTCCCTCAATCAAGTCCCCCTCCCTCGTCAGCCCAAAGAGCAATCAGGGTTCCCTGCCCTGTGGGAAGTCCAAGGACCACCCACCTCCATCCAGGTCTAGTAAGGTGAGCATCCAAACTGCCTAGGCTCCCACAAAGCCAGTACATGCAGTAGGATCAAAAACCCATTGCCATTGATCTTGAGTTCTCAGTAGTCCTCATTGTCCGCTATGTTCAGCGAGGCCGGTTTTATCACAGGCTTTTTCAGACCCAGGCCAGCTGGCCTTGGTGAGTTCCCAATAGAACATCCCCATTGTCTCAGTGTGTGGGTGCACCCCTCGCGGTCCTGAGTTCCTTGCTCGTGTTCTCTCTCCTTCTGCTCCTGATTTGGACCTTGAGATTACTGTCTGGTGCTCCAATGTGGGTCTCTGTCTCCTTTCATCGCCTGATGAAGGTTAATATTCAGGAGGATCACTAAAACAGAAAGGCAACCCACTGACTGGGAGAAGATCTTCACCAACCCCGCAACAGACAAAGGTCTGATCTCCAAAATATATAAAGAACTCAAGAAACTAGACCGTAAAAGGCTAATCAACCCAATTATAAAATTGGGCACTGAGCTGAACAGAGAATTCTCAACAGAAGTTCAAATGGCCAAAAGACACTTAAGGTCATGCTCAACTTCCTTAGCGATCAGGGAAATGCAAATCAAGACAACTTTAATATACCATCTTACACCAGTCAGAATGGCTAAAATAAAAAAAAACACCAATGATAGCCTTTGCTGGAGAGGTTGTGGAGAAAGGGGTACACTCATCCATTGCTGGTGGGAATGCAAACTTGTGCAACCACTTTGACTTATTCCTGTTCTTAGAGCTGACCCATCACTGTGTTGGAGGGATAGGTATGGCCAACAATATTGGGACAGGGAGAAACCACTGGTCAGACTAGCAGAAAGGGCTGATTCCAAGTCAACAGTAGTATTTCCCAAAAGAGGTGAAGTTTGTCTGTTTGAAAAACAGGTTGCTGCTGATACCTGAGATAAAAGACTCAACCCAATAACTTCAGGAAGAAGGGGCTGGGAGTCACGTGGTTTGTCAGCATCTGAGCCCGAGTTCAGTGTTGGCTGCTCCCGCTGTCAACTTACTGTCTCCGGCAACTCAATTACTACAGCCCGTCTGTTCCCATAAATGTTCCAGAGACTTATGATGGTCAGAGGCCAGAAAAGAGTCAAAAACAACAGCAGTGATTAAAAACTCAGAGAGGCCTCAAATCATCCAAGATCGTGCTCTGGCATTATTGCCTTTGATCAGCCCAAACTGAACAGGAATAAGGGAATAAGGGAACAGGAATAAGGGAAGAGATGTCACTCACGCCAGCTGGTGGGGAAGGTAAGGAATAGAATGATGCTCATGGTTCCTGCTCCTTCCTCTTCCTCACTTTAGCTTTAGAGAAAGGACATTAAAAACCTGTGTGCAAAGCTGACCAACCCCCGGAGTGAGAGAGGCTTTGGTTTCTTATTCACGGCTAGACAATCCCACAGGACTCCAGAGCTCTGTTTCTACCACCCTAACTGGTGTTTTGTTTGTGCTGATTATTTTTAGAAGAGTGTGAACCCTTGGGAATCATCACACCCAATCCCCTTGTTTCAGCAAAGGGCAAGGAACTCGATGTTTCAGAATGAGTTTCAGTGTTTCAGTTCACTTCCTATCAGAGTTGATCATTTGAATCCAAGCTTCCAATTGGCTCAGTGATCCCTCTGTTGCCTCCACCTTCCTCCCTAATCACTTCTTCAAAGTGCCCAATTGGTCTCTCTCCTGTGAAGTGACCTCTTAGGTGTCCTGGGTGCACGCGGATTTTACCTGAGAAGTAGGGGGAGTTCCCAAGAGGTACAAGGATGAATGATAAAATTTATCTTGATAATCTCAATTTTTAACTTTTTGGAGATCAACATCAGACAGCATAAACAAATACCAGGATAACTGAGAAGCCGTGGAAAATGGAAGACAAAGCTTCATGTTTTATAATTAGCGGCACTTTAGCATATTCTCCCCTATAAGAGAACCGTATTTTGATTTTTGTACTGGGCCCCACAAATTATGTTAGTATCCCTGTCTTTAATATCTTAGTATTTAATTTCTCAAATTCTCTTATTTCAATAGGGTTGTTTTCAACACTCTGTCCATTTTGAGTCATCTTACTGCCTAACCACATTTCCTTCACATATGACATTGTTTTGGTTAATAGTTTTAATTTATCAAGAGCTATATTAGTTTGTTTGGTCTGCCATGGCAATATATTTTAGCAGCCTGAGCAAGTGGCTTAATAAGCGGAATGTATTTCTTCATGATTCTAGAAGATAGAAGTGTCAAAGTTCGTCGTGTCTTCATGAGCTCATCCCTGAATTTTCAGACCTGCGTGTGTTGCTCGGTGCGTACATGGACCCTGTGTACATTGGCATCCCTAGCCATTCCTGTGTGTACACATTCCCTCTTCCCTTTCAATCCAGTTGACTGGTATCTTACGAACCTAACCTCTTTTCATCTTAGTTACATTAATTACATTAATCTTCAAACACAACCATGCTGGGGGCTAAAGCTTCAACAAATAATACAGGTAGAATTTAGCTCCCAACAAGGCCTTATATCCCCACTCTTTCTGTGGTGGTCTTGATATAATATCCAGTACTCATATTTTCGCAAGTCCACTCATTCACTGATAAATATTTGCTGAAAACTTACTAAACACCAATTGCTGGGAAAGATACTGGAGATGAGATGCTAGAGAATACAGGTGGATTCCTGCCACCACGGGGATTTAGGCACTACCAGGAGAGATAGGGGTAGAAACAATTAAGCAAATAAAACAGCTACAGACTATGAGAAGTACAAGAATAATAAGACACAGGGCTCTGATAGTAAAGTGAGTGGGTAATGTTTGGAATGGGGTTCTCAGTGAAGCTGTCTCTGAGGGGATCCGGTTAACCTGGATGTTGCGGTGAGCAAGCTTTCTTAGCACAGAGAGGTCAGAACAGGAAGTAGCAAGGAAAAAGACTCAGAAGTGGTCCCGGTCCAGCATGTTGCTGGCGGTGGCTACATGGTCATGTAACAGTCATGCCTAGTTTTATGTAGAATATGAAATGAAACAGGCAGGAGCAAGGTCATGCGGGGTCCTCTTGGCTTTTAGACTCCATTCTGAATGTGACGGGAAGCCACTGAAGTCAGGGATCTGACAGATTGGCAGAGAGCAGGAGGAAATGGAGAACCAGAGTGCCATTGTTTTCTGTCATTCCTGCACTTGTATCTGCAGGACTGGTGAGGCATAGGCATTCATAAACACTGGGGAGGGTGCCCCCTGCTGGCCATGTCCTTTTAAACTCGCATTTGATGACCTAAAGGGAGAGTAGATGTATCTTCCCAGGGCTCCTCCTCATCCTTCCCTCCCTTCCTTCTCCTCTTTTCCCCTCCCCTCCCCTTCCCCCCCTTGGTTCCATTTACCTCAATCATATGTCTATTGTGCAAAATCATGGATCTTACTGTGATGTTTAAAATAGTTTATGTGTTTGTGGGGGGAGGTCAGAAGAACAACTTTGGTCCGTTTTCTCTTTCCACAGTGTTTTCAGGGGCTGAACTCAACTCGCCAGGTTTGCAAAACAAGTGCTTTTTACCAGCCATCTCTCTCTGCCTTTATGATGTTTTATATGTGCATATCATGTAATGTCATGATTCATGTTCACCCTTGTGTGTCACTGCTCCCTTCCACCTTCCTAAATAGTTCTTGTTGACTTTCATGTTACACACACACTTAAATTCTGAATTCTGCATGTATTTATCATTTTAAATATGGCTTAGTTCACTTAACATGGTCTCCAGTTTTGTCCATCTAACATAATTTCTTTCTTCTATATGACTGAATGAAACTCCATAATATATATATATACACACACATTTTCTTTATCCAGCAGTCAGTCAGTGGACAGCTAAGCTGACTGCATGTCTAGTCTATTAGTAATAGTATAGTAATAAGTATAGAATGCTTATTTAGATTGCTTATGGTATGGGATAGCTGGATGACATATCAATTGTATTTAATGCG